CGGAACTTAACTTGCGCGCATCTGCTGTGAAAGCAATAAAACGCATATATGTAATAGATTGTGGCGATGATGGTCGGGATGTATTCTAACTTCAACAAGAGCTGAAGTCGATGGAGACACATTTTGGGCGATTCGTTGATAACCATAACCATCTTGTTGGAGAAGCTGCACCCTCAGAAATGGTTACTTATGATTCGCTATGGGAAAGTGTGGAGGAGCTTTACGGTGAGGCATGTAGCACACTCAACCGCCTTATTGCGACGTCAGCGGGAGATTCCAACGCCAGTGAAGGTGCGCTCAACGCTCCTACCACGACTTTGGATGGCTGTCCGGTTGATCTTAAATTTGACCCGTTGGCTACTCCCCCATTTGACGGGGATATGGCAAGTGGTTGGCGTTCAAGGATGCGTTTGAAACGCACGTCCATAACTCTGCGTACTCGGAAGCATTCAAGTTGGGTAAACTTCGCCAAGCAGTTAACGCCTCCACAGTGCCATTAATTGGAGGGATATACTCGGGTGGCTATCAAGAAGTATGGAAGGCTCTTAAAGAGCGTTACGATAATAAGAAACAGCTGGCAGAAATACCGTGTCGCGTTTTCTAAACGTACAAGTAGCTACCGAAGAGTTATCGCAAGCATTGCTGGCCATTGTTGACACAGTGCAAGAGTCGCTGCGAGCATTACGGGTTATGGAGGTCCCTGTAAGACAATGGGATGCATTAGCTGTGCCTATTGCTGTGTCCAAGCTTTCGGCTGTAACCAATCGCGCCTGGTGTAGGAGGTGTACCACCACCGATATACCACTGCTGGATGATTTGATGAGGTTTTTGGAAAGGCGTGCTCATAGTCTATCGCCTGAACCAGCGGCCATTCTAGTGGCCTCTCGGCAACGATCGGTGAAGGCGCATGTGGCTAGCACTGAGCGGGCACAGTGTGCGCATTGTGGTGCTTCGCATCGAATTTCTAAGTGTTCAGCGCTGTCAGCCATGAACATTGAACAACATTGTGAAGCAGTTAAGAGTTTAAGGTTGTGTTATAACTGCCTACGTGCTGGCCATTCGTCCAGACAGCGTCCATCGGGAAGTTGTCGGAATTGTGGCCGTAAGCACAATACTATCTTATGCCGCGAGAGGTTCGTCAACATAGCTGCGCCTGAATCCACGTCCACGACACCCGTATCGAATATTGCACCTGGTAAGGCGCCAACAACTTCAGCTGCATGACTAGCGGAACATGCGAGAGCCCACGCGGACAGATATCAGCCGATCACCCTCCTAGCAACAGCGCCTGCATATGTCTTTGGAGAAGCATCGGTTCAGCGTGTGGCTCGTATCCTATGCGATCCTGGATCGCAGGTTAGCTTCGTGACGGATCGCCTAGCAAACTCCTTGCAGTTATACCGACGGAAATGTGACCTGCTGGTAGATGGGGTAGGGGCTGCCGTCAATACACAGGTGAAGGGCAGCGTTACACTCACTTTGAGGTCAACGAAAACTGGATGTGAGATGCAAATTGAGGCCTTGGTTTTACCGTCCATTACTTCTCAGACTCCGGCGGTGAATATTGACGCGAACCAGTGGCCGTACTTGAGAGGGCTTCAGTTGGCGGGCGATCGGTTTGGTACGCCTGGCATTATCAACGTTCTCATCGGCGCGGACGTGTGGAGGCGAGTCTTAGAGGGTGAAGTCATCGGTGGACGACCAGACGAAACTTTCGCCCAGCGTACCCGCTTTGGTTGGGTAGTGTTTGGTCCGGCAGTAGTGTCTTTTACTTCGAACGTATCATCGCTCGCACTAAGCGCGTTACAGGGTGAGGACGACGTCCGTTTAGAAGAACTGCTCCACAGGTTTTGGGAGATGGATGAAATTGCGGCGGCCGACAATCAAAACGTTGACGACTGTGCCCAGATCTTCGAAGCTACTCATGGCCGCACTGCGGACGGCCGTTATATTGTGCACCTACTTCTACGACAAAATGCACCAAAGCTTGGTGACTCGTATGCACTTGGTAGACTAGAGCGTCGCTTGGTAGTATATCCCGCCCTCACAGAAAACTATGTGGCATTCATGCGGGAGTTCGCAACTCTCGGACATATGGAGCTAGTCGAACCACCGTATCACCATAACAATTGCTACTATATTCATCATCATGCAGTCACCTCCAAATTCCGCGTGGTGTTCAATGCTTCGGCGCCGACCAGCACGGGAGTATCCCTAAACGATGTTCAACTGGTGGGCCCAGCGCTTCAGGACTCGCTTGGTAGCATACTTCTTCGCTTCCGACGTTTTCGAGTGGCGATAACGGCCGACATCGGGAAAATGTTCAGGCAAGTGTTGGTTGCGCCGGAGCATCGAGACAATCAGAGGATTATTTGGCGCGAGTCCCCGGCCGACGATATTCGCGTATATCGATTGAAGACCATTACATATGGCATGGCATGCAGTCCATATAACGCAGTGCGCACGTTGCAGCAAGGCGCTTATGATAATTATGGTTCAGTTCCGGATAGGCGGCAGGCGGTCCTCGCTCGAGATGCGATTCTAACCTCGTTTTACGTAGATGATTTCCTCACCAGTTTTGAGAGCGCGTCCGATGCAGTGGATCTGGCTAAAAACGTAGATACCATTTTATCCGCGTGAAAATTTACGCTAAGAAAATGAAACTCCAACGATAGCCAGATGATGAGCTATTTATCTAATGAAGCGTCTCTTTCCAGCTATACTTTCCATTCTGGTGTGGTGGGACGCAGTGACGGATCAGCTATTTTTCCAAGTCGACCTAAACCAATCCTCCGAGGCTCCCACGAAGAGACGAGTACTTAGCGAGGTGGCGCGTCTCCTTGATCCCGCTGGGTGGTCATCACCTGTTGTAACTGGGAAGGTGTTTATTTATTTATTTATTTAATTGGTCTACAGAAAAATGTTTTCTTACAGACAAAATGAGAATAGAACATTTAGGTACATAGTCATTTATAATAATAATAATAATAATAATAATAATAATAATAATAATAATAATAATTATTATTAATAATCCTAATAATAATGGCAATAATAACAACAATGCACAGAAAACCGTACCAGACAATCAATGGAAAACGGTTGGAAAAAGCAGAAAGCCCAAGCCAGGGCCAGCGCCAGGTGAACCCTTGGTCAATAAGGGCGAGGCGACCAGCCGCAAAAAAAAGAAGAGGGTGAGAAAAAAGAAGAGTCTCGCCAAATTAATAATTAAGCCAGCTGAAGGCAAAACCTATGCAGAGGTGCTGGGAACGATACGCGGTAAGCTCCAACCCGAGAAGACGGAGACCGTAATTCGATCTGTTCGGAAAACCCGCGAAGGCGGCGTGCTCATCGAAATGGAGCGCTGTGGCAACCACACAGCATTTAAGGAAAATGTGTGCACTGCCATTGGCCAGCTTGGAGACGCCCGTATTCTCACTAGACGTTTACGTCTAGAAGTTCTGGGCATGGACTGCCTAACCACGGCCCCAGAAGTGGAGAACGCTATACGCGGGGAGTTAGGAGACAAGATGAATGGCCAACTTCGCGTCTCTCTCCTCGCTGTAAACTCGCGAGAACAAAGAATGGCCGTGGTGGAAATCGATGAACTGCCAGGCCGGACTCTTATTGAAAAGGGGAAGCTGCGAGTAGGTTGGATTATCTGCCGCGTCCGAGAGCGCGCGGATGTCCAAAGGTGTTTCCGCTGTCTGGGGTATGGCCACAAAAAGGCGGCATGCAAAGGCCCAGACAGAAGCAGTTCATGCTGGAAATGTGGTCAGCAGGGCCACATAGCCTCTGCGTGTAAAGAAAGCCCAAGCTGCTACCTGTGCTCGGCAGGAGATGGACAGAAAAATTCCCATCACCTGCCCGGGTCGGGAGCGTGCAAGGCCTTCAGGGATGCCCTTGCTGAGGCTAAGACAAAGCTTGGGAGAATATGATTAAATTTATACAAGGCAATATGAACAGGAGTAGGGTAGCTGATGACCTGCTGGACCAATTGGTTCTTGAACAAAGAGCAGACGCTGTCATCATCAGTGAACCCTATAGAACAAAAGAAACCTGGCATGTTGACCAATCAGGCTCGGCCGCGATATGGATTGCTAACCCCAACCATCGCGCAGAGAGCAGCGGGGTAGGACGCTGCTACGTCTGGGTTAAAATGGCGCAAATCACTGTGGTGAGCTGCTACCTGTCTCCAAACGACACAGTCCCTGTCTTCAGGGGAAAGCTCGAAGACCTTGAAGACGAATTGCGCGATATAACCGGCCACATAATTGTTGCTGGAGATTTCAACGCAAGAGGCGTGGAATGGGGTATGCCCCAAACAAACACCAGGGGAAGACTGGTCCTTGAAATGGCAGCCCGCATTGGCCTGACCATCCTCAACACCGGAACGACCCCTACATATCGAAGGCCGGGTTTTGGATACTCTATCCCCGACATAACCCTGGTCTCAGAAAGCCTTCTCCGAAGGGCTGACGGATGGAGAGTGATGGAAGACCTGAGTGGTAGCGACCACAACTACATCACCTTCCAAGTCACTGACATCACGCGAGGGCAAACACGTAGTATCCCTCGCAGGAAACCAGGATGGAACCCGTCTAGGGTCGATGTTCGCAAGTTCGATACGTCACTCCTAGCAGATTCCCAAGGCATTTCACCCACAACGGGAGAGATCCACAACAGGGAGTCTTGTACTAAGCTGGTCGAAGAAACTATGCGCTGCATTCACCGGGCATGCAAAGCCTCAATGCCACAGAGGAGAGCATGGTCAGGTAAAAAGCAGGTATACTGGTGGAATGACCGAATTGCTGAGCGGCGAAGGGCCTGCCATAGAATGCGGAGACTCGCAACGCGCGCTCGTGGTAGACCCGAGGCGCTGACCAGAGCAGCAGCCTACAAAAGCGCAAAGAAAGCACTTGGGGCCGAGATACAGAAGAGCAAACGGAACTGCTGGAAAGCGCTATGCGACGAAGTGGATCGCGATCCCTGGGGCCAGGGATACAAAATAGTGATGAAAAAGTTCCATACATCATCACAGGCGATGGATGAGGCCCGAGTTAAGAATATAGTGGATGCGCTATTTCCCACACACCCACTAAGAGCCGACACAGTGTTCGTCGAGGAGCAAGCCGAGGCACCACTGTTTTCGACAGACGAGCTGAAGCTAGCCCTGCGAAGCATGAAAGCCGGCAAGGCTCCAGGCCCAGATGGCATACCAGCGGAGGCAATCAGGTTAGCAGCGGAAACGAGCCCTGATCTTCTGCTTAACATGTACAACAGCTGCCTTAGGGCCCGGGTTTTCCCAAGCCAATGGAAGAAGGCGAGACTGGTGCTTATACCCAAGGGCAAAGGGGACCCAAACTCTCCTTCATCCTTCCGGCCACTCTGCATGCTAGACACAGCAGGCAAAATGATGGAGAGTCTGCTCAAAATACGCTTGACGTCAGCCATAGAAAGCGAGGGAGGCCTTTCACCCCGACAACATGGCTTCAGGAAGGGACACTCAACTATAGGAGCAATTGGCGAAGTAGTCGAGGCGGTACATAAGGCCGAAGAAGCCTGCCACCAGGCGCGGCCAATAGTGCTGCTAGTCACACTGGACGTCAAGAACGCCTTCAACTCGGCAAGATGGGACGATATGCTGGAGGCCTTGGAACGGTCATTCAAGGTTCCAACATACTTGCTAGATATGATCCGGGACTACCTCAGAGACCGTTGGCTTTTGTACGACACAACACAAGGCCAGAGAAAGAGACGTATAACCGGCGGAGCGGCACAGGGGTCTGTACTTGGCCCGGACCTCTGGAACGCCACGTATGACAGTCTGTTGCGCACGGAAATGCCGGAGAGCGCCTTCCTTGTCGCCTTCGCGGACGACGTGGCAGCCGTCATAACAGCAAGAAATGTCCAGCTAGCACAGCTCAAGCTAAACCAGGTCATGCGCAACGTCAGTGGATGGATGAGCGATCACGGTCTGCAATTGGCTACAGCCAAAACGGAGATCGTGCTCCTCACCAGGAAACGGATCCCAACAATTATAAATATAATGGTCGGACCTCAACCCGTGACGACTTCTAGGTCTACAAAATACCTAGGGGTGAAGCTGGACAGCAAACTCACATTCTGGGAACACATCCATGGAGTATGTGAAAAAGCTGCGCAGGGCACGGCGGCTCTAAGCCGGCTGATGGCAAACGTGGGCGGCCCGAAGCCATGCCGCAGGAAGCTTCTGATGACAGCGGTCCAATCGGTGCTCCTGTACGGGGCAGAAATATGGGCTGACGCATTGAAAGTCAAAAAATACCGGGTTCAAATGTCTTCGGTACAGCGCAGAGGGGCACTACGCATTGCTTCTGCATACCGTACAGTGTCCGCGGACGCGGTTCTAGTTATTTCTGGCGTCATGCCAATTGAGCTACTTGCTTACGAGCGAAAAGAGATTTACAATCTCAGTGCCGAGATAGGTCGAGCAGCTGCCGCGGCAAGGGCGCGCGAGCAACTGATCCAGCAGTGGCAACAAAACTGGAACGCGAGCACAAAAGGTCGATGGACACACTCCCTGATAGCCGACCTTCAAACATGGCTGAACAGACCACATGGGGAAGTCGATTTCTACCTGACGCAATTCCTCACCGGTCATGGTTACTTCCGAGAATATCTTCATAGAATGGGAAGGGTGGACTCACCGTTCTGTCACTACTGTGGAAACGTCGAAGATAACGTGTACCACACATTCTTCACCTGCGAACACTTCTTGATTTCGCGCAGAATGTTGGAAGAAAGACACGGAGACATTACTCCGGACAACATAGTTGGGATAATGATTTCCAGCGCAGAAAAGTGGGAAGCAGTTGCGAGATACGTGAAATTCGTACTCCGCTGCAAACGAGAGGACGGTTGTCTACTGAGGACACCCGAATGAAACGCCCCTACAAAAGAGCAGCCCCAAGGCTCTAACAGCGCGCTCCTGCATCTGAAGACATGCAGAATTGCGGTGCCAGATGCGGGATTCTTGCGCGGGCGGTGGGAGTTTGGGTTTTAGTGGGTAGCCCAACACGCTTCGGTGGGAGTCCCACACTCGGGGAAGGTAGTATAGAGACTAGCGCCCCCGGCCAGTGCATAAAGCATTTCCCTCTCCTACGAACAAAATATGCAAAACAAAAATTTTAGAAATTAAAAAAAATACTTTAGTTCATTTTCGCGTGAACTTAAATAAAAATAAAAGTTTTCATTAAATTAAATTTGTAC